GGTATATTTATAACTTAGATATACTGGAGTGTTATACATTTTTATTTTAATTCTTTGTCGTATTCTATCTTTAAAAAGTTCTATATCTCTAAGTTTGTTTGATCTATATATCGCAGAGTTAACCAAAAATTTTAAAAAAATTTTATTTTGTAAAGTATGCCTAAATGGATTTACTCTTTGAGATCTAGTGTATCTTTAATATTCTTCCGCTTTGCCTCAGAATATTATTTGACTCATAGAGACTTATAAATAAAAATTAATAAGTATTAATAAGTATTCACATTATATATTAATGCGAGCGGAATATACGCATTTGGAAATATGTAATGCTCCGTACTAGCTTTATTGATCTTCGGAGACAAACGGAAGAATCAGATTGTATCTCAAAAAGTTAATCTCCCCATATCTTCTACGAGATGCACGTGCACCTATAAAATCGTTGAATACTCTTGAAATTTGAATATGTTAAAACAAACTTGATCAGATTACGATCATTCTATCGAGTATTCTTTCCTTACATAAGAGCGATACTTGACGACATACTGGAGTAAAGGATTTTTCTGTAAAAAATTGTAGAAATACTTCAAGACATATATTATATATTAGTCGTGTAAGTTTTTGGCATGCTACTGAAATGTAAAAACTGGGTGAAGAATTTGCAGCCACGTACATTCTGTGCTGCTCTATTTCACTTTGCCCGCTTATTAATCATGTAACGAGGTGTTTATTTCTATTAAGAACAAAAGCAACAAAGTGTGATTACATAACTATATTCATCTAAATCTAATACTACTAGTTTATAATAAATATATTTGTACTAATTTTAATCATAAACTTTGTTGTTTTTATTGCACTATAAATATAAGTTAGAGGAAAGCATAGTATGTTAATTTACATTTTTTAATTTGTATTGCTTAAAAAATAATAAACTACTGTATGACAGTGGCTTCATGAAACTTTAAAAAAGCACATTAATACCGTTTAGTAATTAATTTTTAGTTTTATTTGCAAGAAACAATGATTTTTGTATAAAGAAATAATGTTATAAATAATTTCGAATTACTCTAGTATTAACATCATTTGTATTACTATTAAGTGTAAACTTAAATACTTCAAAGTTCAAATAATATTACACAGGACCTATATTAATAGCTATTTACATTCTTCTGTTATGATTTGAAACAAAAGTAAAAATGTGTCATTTATGTGAATGCATATATTACACATCTTTTATCATTTTTTAAACATTCTCTCAAGTTTTTATTTAATATGAGTTAAGAATACATGTACATACATATAGTAGAATTTCATAAATTCTCTATATTAGTGACATTATTTAATAAATACGGAAATTTCTTATAAAATGTTGTGCAAAAGTATTGTGTATTCTGTTCAAAAGAGTCCGAAACCTCGTCGTAAGTATAAAACAACTATATTGCTGGTTAATAGAGAAATGAAATTATATTATTAAAATTTTAACATACTACACTTGGTAAATAATGTGTAGAACTTCATCATATGCCAAAAGCACCATTACCTGGAGAACCTGCAAAACCATATACACTTACTGAAATTCCTGGACCAAGGTCAGAAGCACTTCTCAATGAACTTTCTAAAATTCAGGTTTATATTATTATCACAAAATTCAAATTTTATTGAAGATTGACACATTCATATAAACAATTTTAAAATATTGCAGCAAGTAGGCTCCATTCAATATTTTGGAGACTACCAAAGATCTGTTGGAAATTACTTAGCAGATATTGATGGAAATGTTTTTTTAGATATGTTTATGCAATTATCTACCCTTGCTCTTGGATATAATCATAGGTCAATCCTTGGTGCATTATCTTGTGGAGGAAATCAAGTAAATATAATTGAAAATAATTATATTTACTAAAATAAGCTTAAAGGTGTCAACATAATAAATTTTTAGCGAGTAATAGCAAACAGACCTGCAATAGGATTATTCCCTGGTTTAGAGTGGCCGTGTAAAATACAGGATACATTGCTTCAACCATGTGTTAGATATTTTTACTTATCGAATTTGTAACTACGTTTATTTTATCAATAAGAATAAAAATAACATTGGATAGTAAATAATAATAAATAACAATGAATTTGTTAAATATAATATTATTTCACACATACATCAGGTAGCTCCAAAAGGGTTACCATGCATTTTTACAGCCATGTGTGGTGCTTGTTCAATTGAGCATGCTATACAAATGGCATTCATAAAATATGCAGAAAGACATCGACGTGGCAAAGATTTTACAGAGGAAGAAAAGGAAAGTGCACCTTTTAATAAACCACCTGGTTGTCCTGAATTGTCTATCCTTTCCTTTGAAGGTACCTTAACATAGTGCTGTAATATACCAACACTACAAATTGATGAAATTTATAAAATTAGGAGGATTTCATGGTAGAACATTTGGTGCACTGGCATTAACGCATTATAAGTACATAATGAAAATTGATATACCTTCTCTTCAATGGCCAATTGCACCCTATCCACAGTATTTATATCCATTGGATCAGCATGAAAAAGAAAATAAAGAGGAAGATGCTCGGTGCTTGGAACAAGTAGATTTGATAGTACTATGATATAAATTTTAAATTAATTTTGTTGCTAAAGATTGATAAAATCTACATCAAAATATAAAAGGTAGAGGATTTAATAGAACGATATGAAAAGAATATGCCAGTTGCTGGTATCCTAGTTGAAGCAATACAATGTGAAGGAGGAGATAGACACGCTTCCCCAGACTTTTTTTTACAATTACAAGACATGTGTAAAAGAGTAAATATTTAATATGCTCTGTTTAGATTTTTATAAGATACAAATATTGAGAAACATAACATAATAAATTTTTCAGAGATCTATTCCTTTCATATTGGATGAAATACAAACAGGAGGTGGTGCAACAGGAAGAATATGGGCACATGAATATTTTGAATTAAACATTCCTCCTGATATTGTTACATTTAGTTACAAAATGCAAGCTAGTGGATTTTATCATTCTCCCGAATACATGTAACATATTTATTAAACATAATAGTGTTTGAATAGAATATTGTATCATTATAAATATTTTTCATACTATCTATTTAGGCCCAAGCAACCATATAGAGTTTTTAATGCATGGATGGGAGATCCAATCCAAATTTTACTGTTAGAGGCAGTATTACAAACCATTGAAGCAGAAGACTTATTAACTCATGTATGTTATGTCGGCAATTATTTGCTTTGTCAACTAAACACCTTACAACATGAATTTTCGGATATTATAAATTCCGTACGAGGTAGAGGCTTTATCATTGCCTTTGATACGAAATGTAGGGATATGAAACAGAAATTAATGCATCTTTTACGTAATAAAGGTAATATCAAAAATTTAATATATTCATTTGACAATTTTTATATTCTGCTTCCGTATAGTAAATTTACAAATGTTAGGTATACAAGTGGGCGACTGTGGAACAAAATCAATTCGATTAAGACCATGTCTAATATTCGGAGAATATCATGCCGATATCTTTTTAGAAATTCTGCGCGATTGCTTGCAAGAACTTGCAGAGTGCTGATGTATTTGTAAATTATATTTTAATTATTTATTGTATTATACACTTGTTAAATATATACTTTAATACAAAAATATACGTTCTATAACATTATTATATGTATGTATATAACAACTAATTATGAAGTATATTATACGATAGTAATAATAATAACAGAGCGCACCTGCTGCCATTACATTCAAATCTAAATTCAAATGATATTCAAACATCGCGGCTAGTAGTCACATAGTTCCAGTTACCGATCAAGGACCAAGAATATACATATTGTCTGTGTACATATAAAGGAGATCGATATCAGTATGGCGGTAAAGGAGCGGCTCCATTCAGCGTGATTGGAAATCAAGATTATTATGGCTCAGATTTTACATTACATAACGGGAAAGTGCATTTCTATCGAAGTGCATTTTTCGCGACGCCTAGTAGCATCTTGAACGACCATAAGTATAGAACAAAAAACAAGACATTAAGTTTGTCATTGTGAGTAAAGAAAAGTAAACGAAGAAGAAAGGATTTTACAAGGACGTTACAACTTACAACTGATAATTGCAACATCGCAACTGAAGTCCTTAGCCCCGGCACGTTGAAGCGTAAACAGTCACCATGGCAAAGTACGAAGATATTGCGTAACACTTTATCTAATTATAGCAGCGTAAAAAGTGCATCACTAATTCAATGATAATGCTCTGTTTACTATGCCACGCTGCAAACTGTATTACTATTACACTTATTTCATCGGTTTATTTCTTGGCGGCATGTCCCTTTTTAAATCTTTAATTTTTGTTAAACAGAATGCTGACTTCAAGTTGGTGTGGGTTTATGGATTAATAGTCAAAATATTTTCGTATTTAATTTTTTTATTCACATAATACTTTTATGTTGCTAAGTTATGAATATGTATTAGTTTACATTATTGGTTCTAAAGTAATATATTTCCTTTATTTCGTACTTCTTAAAAATTATGTATATACTTGTGTATGTATATGTGTATGTATATGTTGCTATAAGTAATTAGTTTATATGTATTTATAGCTTTTTTGTTTTATTCTTTCCATAGTATAAAAGTATGAGTAATTACTATATAAATTATAAATTATATTTTCACTTGTACTTGTTAGGGTAATTCACATAATGTATAAGGAAACATTTTCTTTTTTCAGAGTAAGGTTTCAGACTTTATTACGTTATAATTATGCCTCCTTATATTATTTCATAATAAAATATATCATATTAATGTTATTAATTTTATATACTTTTAGTTAATGTAGATAATTTACATAGATATAAATAAATTATTTTCAAAATTAAGAATTTTGTCAAAATAAAATTTTCCTCCTTCATTTTGTGTTTTATTCTATCTTCAACAGTTTATCTAAAGTTATTAGATTAATCAGAGTTGAAAATGTTTTCATTGCTAACTAATTAATTCAGTAACTTCATACAACTACTAGCATCATAAAAACTGGAAAAACATGTTGAGTTTTTAAAAAATTACTGAATCATAATGATGCAATGAGTTCTTATACAAAACGTAGTGTTATATATAACAATGCTTTTAAAAGATATGTTCTAAATTGTAATCTTATCTCCTTTATTTTGTTATCGGTTAGTGGTGCAGCTAATCAGTAATTCTCTGTTCACAATTATTTACTTCACAGACTCATTCGTGTATCAGAATCAGAGCAAGTTATAGACATTAATATTATGTCTATAATTTTATAAAAATGAAAGTTGATAGGTTTTCACAGTTATATATAGAACAGTTTTATCAATTACTCCAGGGTAAGCTACTTCATTTATAAAGGAGAAATCACTTTGTTCGTGTTCAATATGAATTTACAAATCATATATAGTATTACATAACTATATACATACTATCAACATATTATATAAGTTAATATAATATATATGTATCAAATTATGTTAATTCTGACTTTTTTTTTTAGAGAGATGATGATAGTATTTGTTTATGACACTGTAAGGTGTTGTAAAGAAGATGATGATCCTGCAGAGGCAGTTATGTATTTTCATCCTGCATGGGTATCTCTTACGCAAAGATTAGCTCTAGCAGGGCAATTAATGGCTGTTAATCAGTTTCTTTCAACTTCGTTTTCCAATCCAAAATCAATCACATTACAAGGAGGAAAATTTGTATTAAAGAAATTTGGACAGTACATACTTGTAAGTGTATCGTTATTATATTTTTTCTTTATATAGGTATAATTAATAATAATTTATTTACTTATAAAAATAATTGAAAATATAAGAGAATTTGACTACATGACTTCAGAATTAATATAATGCAAAATATGAAAATCATTGTATGTATGGCATAATTTGATAGTAGTAGTTATCTATTAAAGCAGTTACAATTATCAGTGTAGTCTCAATGAATGAAACATAATATTTTTCTCATTGCTTAATGTGTCATACTTAGTATGAATTAATATTTGCCACATAAATTTCATTGTTTACTACTTTACAGGCAGTTGGAACTGATAGGAATATTCATGACTGGATTCTAGAAAGGCGTGCAAATACATTAGAATCATTGCTAAAATTTTTTCATTATGATTTGAATAAGATACTGGAATCATTTAATAATGACAGAAATAAGTTCACAGAGAAGCTTTATCAAATGTTTGAAACATATTTGCCAATACTTCAATATAGTGCCAATCTTTTCTCCAATATTCCTATCATTAAACTTCCAAAGGTATGGTTCCTTTTTAATATATTTAATTATTTATTGTGGATATAATATAAATTAATATATGTTGTTTTAGAGTGCTAGTAACATATTTTTAGAAGCAATTCAAGTTTTACAATATTATCAAGAAATCAGTGGTATCATAGGTGGTGCACTCTTCTATAATAATAAGTAAGTTTCTAGAGCAGTGACAAATAAATTGTTCTTTCATTTTAAAAACTAAAAGTATTAATATTTTAGGGTAGTTGCAACTCAGTTAAGTGCTGAGTTGACCAAACAAATTGTTATAACTGATCCATATAGAATAAAGGTATATTCAATTAAAATATATTAATAGTATGTAATATTTACATAATATACAATATTGTTTCTTTTAATACAATTTTTTAGGCTCCTGCAGAGAGAATATCGACAGAATTTCATCTACCTGTTGGAGTACAGTTATTGCGAGTATATATAGAGCAAAAACAGTTTACGAAACTTATACAAGAAGCAAATAATGAACGATATTATAGTTCTTATTTAGATTCTGTGACAAAAAAGATATTTCAAAGAAAGGTTAGTAGTTTTTGACAATGAATTATAACAATTATTTAATGATGAAACTATTATATTCTTAGAACATGTCCAAGAACAGTAAGGAACTCCCTTTGTCCGGAATGAAACGTGATACTTCTCGCATTTTTACTGTACCTGAAGAAGGAGAATTAGATTCATTACAGTACAACGATAATAGTCACTATGTACCCTCCGTACCACTTACAGCTTACAGTTCTCCAGTGAAACGTAAACAGGAAAGTAAAACAGACCGTCCTAAGTGTGTAAATCCTTTAACTCCTAGCGTTTGCTCTACACCATTAAAAGATATTAATAGAGTATTACATGGTAATGCTATGTTAATATGTAACACAAACGAAGATACAAATAATGAAGCAGAAGAAGAAAAGAAAGAAATAAAAACAAATGTAGATGATATTCCAGATGTTGTTAAGGAAGCACTTAGATATAAACGTTTAAATAAATTAAGAAACGTTACGCCAAAAGAAAAACTAGTTAAACGAAAAGAATTTAATAAGAGAAGCTTAAGTATGCATGATTTAGGATCGTCCAATTTGTACTCCAATCGAATATCAGTAAGAACATATGGATTAGGGTTGCCACAATTAAAACAAAATATATCTCCCGAAACTTCTCCTCAAAAGCAATCTTTACATAAAAGGCAGTTTCATACAATTACTGACCCATATTATCCTATATTTCGATGTGATGGATTACCAGTATCTCAGTCTTTATATAATCAATATATATCTTCGCATTACGAAGAACTTAAGGATGATCGAAATAATACAATTAATCGTAACGACTTTTTAACAAGTTTAGCTAACGATTGTAATATGAAAAATGTAACAAATAGCTGTGATACCATGATCAGTGATAATTTAGAAAAATCAAGTAATTCTCGTGACATAAAAATAGATAGTAAAGTGAAACAAGAAACTTATCGCAGATCAATGAGTCTTCCTTTGAAACCACTCAATATCACTGATAATGATGATAGACGAAAATCAGCATCGGAATGCGGTAACGTGTATGAATTTCTTCAAAAGAAAAAGTTGGATGGTCTACAATTAACACCTCTTATGTCTAAACTCAGTTTACTTGCTGATGAGAGAACTAGCGGTTTTTGTAGTAGAGAAACAACTCCTAGTGAATTTCGTGATTTATCGGGCTTTTCAACAGCAACAAATCAAATAATTAAGCAAAAACTGGAAGCAGTTAATAAGGAAACTGGCAGTGACGGTGAAGATGAATTGGAAGAAGATTGGGTAACTACTTCCAAAGATGAAGTTTCTTTTGAGAAAACAGAACTATTTCTCTGTGGACATCATAATATGGTGCTAGTACTATTAATGGAAAATGGAACTGCTAATAATCCTGATCTTATACACTCTCTCGTAAGTATATTTTATTGTCTAATATCCAATATATTGAAATTTAATTTTTTGATAATATATATTATAGTAATACATGTTATAGTGGCAAACTTGCGTGAATACGTTAGGAAAGCTTGAAGCTAGACTACAACAATGTTTAGAGCCTCTACCTTCAAATGAAAATAAGGAATTATATAGTATATTAAGTATTGATCCTCAATGGGACACAATAAATCGTTCTGGACTCTGGGGTGTCACTGAATTGGATATTGTTTCTTGCCTTCATGATAGGTTCACATATGCCAGCAATCTCACAGATATTATTGTCAGGTAATTATTTAAGAATTAGGTAATTTGATTCATTTAGTGCAATTTTGCATATGTCTGCTTGCTTCAGTAGACCTATTTATATCTTTTTGCTCGGTTAAAATAATACTACTACCAAAAATTTTCAAGAAAATGAATTGTATTATACATTTAGAGTATGTTTTGTTTTATATATTATGAAGCACTAAACTATTATATAATAGTAATATATAAGTACTAACTTATATATTTATACATTATGAAGCACTAAACATGTTAATTTTTCATGAAATATAGTAAAAAAAATGAGTATATTTTATTAATTAACTAGAACGGAGGATACCGTTGTTTATGGTAACCAGTGTGGAAACGTAGAGGTATTTTATCAACAAGCAGTGGCTCCAAATACCTCTGGAGGACTTCCAACTCCTGCAGATTTAATGGGAATTGTGTCTCTTAAAGCAAAACGTAGACTGGAAAGAGATCATGGGATTGTATTGCTATAAATAATAATTATCTACAAATGCTTCCATCACAATCTCGTTTAGGATTGAATTGTTTTATTTAATATTTTGTTCTTTTTTTTATATTTCCCGGCATGGCAAATTAATAATGATATATAACATTCTGTACATATTTTATCTCCAAATAGTAGTACATACATTTTCCTGATGTTTTTAATAATATTAAATAGAAGCATTCTCTTTACCTTGTTATATGGTAATACAAGGGCATTAAAAATGGGAATGCAATTCTTCATTTAGTAGTTAGCATGTAACAGTAGTTGAACTCTTATTACCATAGCAACGATTTTCAAATAACCATATATAAACATCACGTATATATGTTAATGCGTGTATGTATACTTTTAGTATTATATTTATTTAAAACGTCCATATTTTGAGTAAGAAACAATGAGTTCAAATTTTCATATCTCTTTCCAAATAAAAGGATAATTAAACATTCCATTAATTTAATCGACCAAGAACATTTTTACGATAAAAAAATACTACATATTCATAGAAAAAAATATTACCAAATTTTCTACATATATTTTTGTAATAAAGATCATACTATTGAGTCTAATAATTTAAGAATTGGCGGTAATCAAGGAATTTTTATATCACTCACATGTACCGACCATACATAACAAAACCGGTATTGAAACGTTACTATTTTCGCGATCATAAATGATATATTTTAATACGAAATATTAAATGTTTTATTAAAAGAAATTCTTCGATAATAAATTCACACTGAACAATTGGTTTTTTCATAATAGTATAAAAAGTAACGTGAACTTCAGATATTGTATATCTTTATTACATTTTTTTATCTTATTAAATATGAATGATGTTACGCAATAAAATTTGCAATTACATTTAAAAGTTTTGTATCATAAACATAAATGTAGTAAAAATATATATTATACCTAAATAATAATTTTTATCATGTATGGTTTCAACAATTAGATAAATAATGAATAAATATTCATAACAGGTACATAAATATTCTTTTAAAATATTTAAAATTGTAATACAGTTTAATAGCATGATGCAACAGTTTTTTCAAGTCCAAGCTTTTAATGTCTTAAATAAAACAAAATCATTCTAGTATTGTAATGCTATGTCCAAATTAAGTGATATTAAGTATTAATTTATTTGTCTATTTACAATCGTGTTATTATGAGTAAAGATTTTTATTGCGTTTAAGCATAAAGCAATTAATTGTTGTTTACTGCTTGACCTCTTAACAATTCCGTTTTGTATAAATGAATTTATATTGTATGTATTATAAACATATAATTAGTTCTTTGTATATAAATATATGTATGAAGCGTCTGATATGTAATCTGTTTACATGATTTATAAATAATAATATAATTTTTAAATTTATTAGTATAAGTAGATTAAACTAATAATATTATTAAAAAAATAATGTATAACATAAGAGGTCAGTATGTTAACAAAAAAGAATGTTATAAATAATATTAATGTAATTCCTGAAAATCATAAAATGCGTTATAAAAACTTAATAATAACTAAACATCAACGTCTAGCAATCACATTATATATATTTTTTAATGGTATTTGTTAAATATTTTAATTTTAATCTGAAAAGTAAATTCTTCCCGAAAAAATAATTTTTTTATTAATACGTTTAGTAGTTTATGTATTCTTCTGTTATAACTATAGTTGTAATTTCTAAGATGAATATAAATTTTATCTTAAGTATCTTTGTATATGAAGATACAACCTAAAATGAATTATGATTCTTCTAAATGTTTTAGATACTTTGACGTAATAAACGATTTCTAATTATTACGTAAAGTCCATATTTTATATTGTTTATAATAATATGCAGTATTTAAATTTTATTACATATGTTGATATGTCTCATATTGTAATTATAATAATCTTCTAAATATAATTATAATAATATCTTTAAATATATAATAATCTAATCTAGTCAGTTATTGTGTATTGCGGGGAGCTATGAATATTTCAAATTATTCCTTACTAACAGTATGTATACTTTAAATTGATTTTAAGTTATGAAACACTTTGTCCCTCTTATTTAAACTAGTTCCAATTCAAACTAGTCATATCAAAGTATAATCGCAGATATTAATTCACAAATAATATAAGACATACATGCAGTAGAACATGAACAACAAAACACTGTAATGTCATCCATGGAATATACTTTAATTGAATAAAAATTATAATTGAAATATGCGATACTTGAACTTAATCATTTTTTAAATTTTTATTTTGATATAAAATAAAATTATTATAGATATTATACTTCAAATAATATATGTTTCATTTTTCATTCCTAAATATTTTCAAAGAAAAAAGTAGTTTCTTTATAATTGATATAACAAAAAAAAAGAAGAAGAACATTTTAAAGAAATAGAAATCATCCTTTTTTCTATATTTATATGCAGATATCTATCATGTGTCTTGAAATCGTTCTGCTGCCTTTTGTCGACCTCGATATAGTAGAGAAGAACGAGTCGAGGCGATCCTCCTAGCTCTGCCGCTTCATTAATATGTTTGTATCACGCGCTACGCACGTTTCTGATCATTATTTACATTAAACAGGTAATTTACATTAAACAGGACGCGCCTCTAAAACCAGAATTTAAGTGTTGACACACGATCACGTTTCGTCATATAGAACGGCGAGCCTTCGCAAATGGAAAGTTTTATACGAATGAAATACTTTGAACTCTTCCTGTTTGTGGTGAAATAGTTTTCAGAAAAATAGTTATTTTTATACAACGACATATATATAATATTAACAAATATATTATACTATATATATACTATTGCTTTACTTTAGTAAGTAAACTAATGTTTACTCTTTTTAATCATTCAAACATGTACGACAAAGTTGACTTTGATTTGTAAACATAATTAAAAAATGATTAATTTGTTTAACTTGTTTAAATACTAAAAAGATGTATAATATTTTTTCAATAAACATAATTGTATTTTATTTTCGCGTTTGCTATACAAATACAAAATAGGCGTGAAAAACAAGAATATTTACTGGAACAATATTTACAAATACATTTTTGTTATTAATTGCAATTAATAAAGTGTACAAGAAATTTTTAAATGTTAGAATACTTTACAATTTTATATTTTCAAACATATTGTAATAAAAATTTTGAAAATTAGCATTTCAATATATCTTAAATATTTTAAAAGATATCACGGAGGATATTAATGTGGATTTTAAATAAATAAACTAATCAATATAATTGAAAATCGACAATAAACAAAATTTCTTCACTACATACGTTAAAAAATATTATTTAAAAAAATGACCTTAAAGATAATAGTTCCACAGACAAACCGATGAATAAAATATTAGGTGATTGTAAATAATCCTGAAAAACCTGCTATTAGTATTATACGTTAGATTTACGACTCACAGTTTTTAAAAGAATGCGACACAAACAAGCCTCCCTGATCAACCAATCAGCGATCAGGATATAGCATTACTGATTTTCACGCGCTTATATTTAAGCAAGATGTTTCCGATTACAAACCACGAAAAAGAAATCATTAACTAGCTCGTTCTAACTTTCCGCAAGTATTCAAAATGGTATGAAATTTATAATCTGTTTTTAGCTAAGTTCTACTATAAAAAAATTTATTATTACAGTACCGTAGTAGTATTAATACTATTTAATTAAGGACATTTTAATTTGTATAAATGTTAGTTTTCAGTTCGAATATAATCGTTCGTAATTTAAATAAAATAAAACTTTTAATGTTCTCTGATTTTCAGATAAATCGATAATATAAAATTTTTAATTTCATTTTTTTCAGACTACATATACAGATAAAGGTCACAAGGTAATTATAGTAACACAAATACTTTAATTGAAAATATAATTATACCATATATTTAACATGTAATTCTTCGTTTTTAGCCTTTAGGAGGAAAATTCTTGTGCTTCGATCACGTCAAATTCTGGGTTGGAAATGCAAAACAGGTAATTAGAACAAAATAGTACATATCTACTAAAAAAACCAGATAGTTTCATTAAATAATAGATGAAATCATGAATTTCATGACATAAGCAAATATTCAGGATTCATATTTGTTAATACTTTAAAACATTTTCTCGCTTTTCGATATTTGTGATTTCTTTTATATTTTCACACAGAAACAAAATTGAAATAAGCCACCCACCTATTATTAATTTATATTTAAACACATTTGTTACTTTAGGCAGCCAGTTATTACTGCACTAGATTGGGTTTTGAACCTTTGGCTTATCGTGGTTTAGAGACTTGTTCCAGGCGCGTAGCATCACACGTCGTTAAACAAAATCAGGTAAATACTAAACAAATGTTTATTGTTCATATTTTTATAAAGTAACATCTTTTACCCGTCTAATATCTTATATTAGTAAAAAAATAAAAATACTGTTTTTATTTATAGATTATTTTTGTATTTGAATCAGCTTATGAACCTGATGATGAAGAAATGGCAAACCATCTTTCCCGACACGGAGATGGTGTTCGTGATATTGCTTTTAATGTTGAGGACATAGACATCATTGTAAAAGTATGTTAATATTATAACTTCCTGCGAATATATGAATGAAAGGATTATTATTTTTTAGATCGCAAGAGAAAGAGGTGCCATAATAGTAAGAGACATATGGGAAGAAAATGATGAATATGGTATTGTAAAATTTGCTACCATAAGTACCGTAAGTACATACAAAGAAAGAAAATAATGAACTAACAACAGTATTTCAATAAAACATAATTATTCTCTTATTTACTAGTACGGAGATACATATCATACGCTAATAGACAGATCCAAGTATAACGGATTCTTTTTACCAGGGTTTCAAAAGCTATCAGAAGACCCATTTTTAAAGACTTTGTATGTAACTTAAATTCAATCAAATTATTCTTCAAATAATATTAAGTTTTTAATAATTTTGTTTTTGTTACTTAGACCAAAAGTAGGATTGAATTTTGTTGACCATATTGTTGGCAATCAATCTGACAAACAAATGGAACCTGTTGCAAAATGGTATACAAACTGATAAAAAATTTAAGAAATTAGAGAAGTCTGTACACGCGATTGTGTTTTCTATATAAAATTTGTTTTATTGTAGGTATGAGCGATGTTTGCAATTTCATCGATTCTGGTCAGTAGACGATTCTCAATTACACACAGAATATTCAGCTCTGCGTTCCATTGTCATGACGAATTGGGAAGAAACAGTGAAAATGCCTATTAATGAACCTGCACCTGGCAAAAAGCGTTCTCAAATCCAAGAATATGTTGAATATTATGGGGGAGCAGGAGTGCAACATATTGCTCTTAATACAAACAACATAATTACAGCTGTAAATTACACATTTGACATAGCTTTTCGAAATTTAAATAAAATTTAAAAAATAAGAATTTACATTATTTCACAGATACAAAATCTGCAAACTAGAGGGCTAGAGTTCCTAGATGTTCCAGACACTTACTATGATATGTTAAGAAACCGTCTAAAAACCAGTGGTGTACAAATTTTAGAAGATGTCAATATACTTCAAAAATTAAAAATTTTAATCGATTATGATGAAAATGGATATCTTTTACAAATATTTACTAAAAATATGCAAGATCGTCCAACTCTCTTTATAGAAATCATTCAAAGGCATAATCACAATGTGGGTATTATAATGATCATTAAACCTACCATAAATCTTTTAAAACTGAAACTAATAAAATTATAAAAATTACTTGTTGTAGGGATTTGGAGCTGGAAACTTCCAAGCGCTATTTCAAGCTATTGAAATGGAGCAAGCTAAACGTGGCAATTTGTAAAATTCATATTTTTAATACTTATGTCAACTAAGATAAAATACAATTATATATAGCAGCTTGTTTTTTAAAAATCATGCTTTTCATCTTCATTACGTTAAAATTTTTTTATACTGCAAGTTGTAAAATAGAAACTACCATTATGTTATTAATTCCAGATATTGTATTTAATGGTCAATATTTGTTTTACAAAAATACACGTAGTATGAGGGAATAAAATATGTAACAATACAATTTAAAAAGTAATAATCAATCATTAAAATTAAATATTATATGCTGCTATATTATATTGTGATATTATGTCATTAACATGTAATCAATAGGTGTATTTAGAAAAAGTGGAAAACAAGAAAATTATTAAACTGTATTTATTTTTAATGCTCTTTTCTTTCTTTTGTGGCCAAGATATAAGCAAATGTTTTTCATATAAAAACTGCAGTATCTAGAAAGAATGGAATAATATGTGATGACAAAGGATATTAAGAAGAAAGTAGCTCACTTATTTTAATCTCTGGGGAGTCCATGGCTCAGATACCTGTCTGCTATTAACTGTAATAAACTTGCAGACATTTCTCTTCATACACTATCATGAATGCCAAGACGAAAGATGTCATGCTGGCAAAAAAATGAATTCCCCAGTGGCTTCAACACAAAAATCTGTGAGAAGGCATGTGGTGGATCTTCATCTGCCTGTAACAAATTATAGATATATAATTATACACTTAAGCTATATATATCATTACTACATGTATAAATCTAATAAAAGAATATATAAAATACATAATTTTCTTTTCTTGCTAATATATTTTACATAATCGTAATAGACCTTAATATATAAAAATTGTATTGTGTAAAAATATATTGGTATGTAATTGAATTACTATCAACAAAGAAAAATTATTATTAAACATAGCTAATAATCTTATTAATTGCATCCCATGCAAAAACTATGTAAATGTTTTAGAAATGTAATAAAAATAAAGAAGTATACAGTACAATGACAAACTCATCATACAATCAAATTCTATGCGAAAAAGGTTATATTACTTTTGACCTATGATTAAGCTAAAAATAGCATCCTCGACTATATAATTATAACATTTTGATTATTATACAGATTAAATACTATAGAATTTTTTCTATTTAAAAATATCTGATAATTATTACAACATTAAAATACAACATTAATACAAAAATTAAATTTAATTGAATTATTTTTATTTTCATATATTCATATATCATTTCATATAATATTTAAACTACTGTTATATTGATACACAAGACAAATTAATAATAATAATTGTTATTGTTATAAACTTATATTATTATTAGTATAAATTATTATTAATCAACATGTCATTAGACTTTAACCAAAAGAGAAAAAATATATTTTATTCCGGTCAGTTCAGCAATTTAAATTTTTTTTATCATCACCCTTATTACATATGCATATAATACATTGTACGCATTTTTACAAATGTATTATTCCAAAAATATTGAAATATGCGGATGGTGCAACAAATTATTTATACTTATTACATAGTTTAAAATATAATTAATTATATAGTACATGCAAATAGTGAATTAATAAAATTATAAAACTTTGGTAAATTTAAATAATTATAATAACAAACATTAAAATGTAGCAAATGTTTTCACTATTATAGAGTTATTTTAAGTTCTCAAATTTACCAAATTGTTAAATATTAATATTAGTTAATTGTAAAAATTATTTTTCTCAAATTATTGATTACAGCAAATAGCAAAGCAATATTGCAAATAACACATAATTGAATTAAAATTAATAATAAGAAAGCATATTGACATACATGAAGCAGCTTTAGACATCAAAAATTAGTATCAGGCTTGCCTGTACCATGGTACGAAGATCAATGGAATAGCAATACCTGACGCCTAAACCGTGTTGTGCAGAGCAAGTCTGAAGATGTCATGCTGCACGTAAAAGCTGGTGCCAATTGGTTTCAGGACAAATGTCTGGATGTATGCATGGGGCTGATCCTCATCAGTCTGCCCAATCATCAACAATCACTGACTGAATTTTCTTATTTCATCTTCTTTGCGGAGGTATATAGAGAGATTGTTGCTGGACATTAGTCATAGCTCAATCTCTATCTTCATATGGCAGCACAAAAAATGTAAGGCAGTACAGTACACATTTGTGTAGCATGTCCAGCCAATAAAATACAATATATGGACGAATAAAAATATAAATGCGTCAATGAATTTAAAAAAAATATCGGGCCAAATATATCTCTTTGTTTAGAAACTGCATTAAATTGTGTATGATAGAAGAAGTTAAATTACTGAACTAATTGGAATAAGATCTCTGCACATATTAAATAAAATTCTTTCATTTATGTATAATCTCTGCTATTAGCATATATATAGCATATATTTATATATATAGTATATATATATATACATATATATATATATATATAAATATGAATAATTGTGTATATTTTTACATGCAAATTCCCTATTTGCTTATTCATATTATACTCATATAATAATGAAAAGTTATTTTCTTTACCTGCAACCTTCCTAAAACATTAATAAGCACTCCACCATCAAACATAGGTTGTGAATCAATGGCAGTTATTATCCGATTTATTTTTTGAAATGTTAAACTCTGAAAATTAAAGATTACTAATCAATATAACAAAAAAAATTAATTTATTTTTCTTTAATTTCATAATCTTTTTATGAACTATATGATTTTCTAGTCTATATAAAATATACTTATATTAAAAAATGATAGGTATAGTATAATGAAATATGTAATAAAATATGACATATATAGCCCATTTAAAAAAAAACTCACAGTTAATTTTTCCATGATTTTAATAGCACCTTGTATTTGCAAACCCTCGAATGTCATGAAAGATGACTCGGTCTGTAAACGTAACATCGAATAAGTATATAGAGAAAAAATTGTTACAATAAATAAATGTGATTAGAAACAATTAAAGCTTACATTATACATATTTATTAAATTTGGTCTTTGTGCGGGGTCGTCAAACATCGCATAATACTGTTGTACGAAACCCTTTCCAATAACTTCATATTGAGCGTTCAATGCCATCACGCTAACTTATTGTGTTCACACTCACTATACGATATCAACAATATCAGTCTTTTTAAATGATTCAATCCTTCGACAAATCGTATTTAAAAAAAGTTCTACGACAAGGGTAAAATAGTACCTATTAACATCCCTCGTGCAAGATACAAGCGAGCAGGAAGCTACTTATGCCGACCAATCATTTCGATGTATCGAGAAAATCATCGGGATTATTCTCGAACTCTCGAAAAGTTTAGATATTCGGCAACGATTGTACTCGTTTTTGTAGAAACAATGTTGCTTCTGATTCGTGGTTCAGATTGAAAATATACGAAATCAATCCGTTGCTTTTCTGAAAATGATATGATATATATTGCAAGAAATAAATAATGATGTTTAAATGATGTGGTGGATAAAACCGGTCCGAACGAAAATTTTCTGCCAAGAAATAATTTTGTTAAACGTCATTCAAACCACGACATAGGATTGGTTATTATTAAACATCGCCGGATGTCTAATGATACGACATCTGTAGGTTGAATTTTAAATATCGGACGGGTAACCAATTGAGAATTAGGTTGACTTCCTTTTCTCCGGTACGATAAGTCGCGAGGTGTGTGATGTTTGTCATTGCAAAAACTAATCCAAAAACATCGGAAAATAGAAAAATAATTTGTTTATAGATATAATATTCTTTTTAGTAACGTCTATTCCGGTATTTTTGGGATAGTAATCATTTATTTGATTGTAGAATTTTAATAAGTTCTCGAGTATGTTAAAAATGTTTGTTAAGTTTGTTTTCGTTAAACTAAGATTAAAATTAGATTAATCATTTAAATTTTGTGTTTTAAGAAACATTCTATATATAAATTTATTTGTTAATTTTTTAAATACTGGTGATGTAAAAGAGGTTATGTGATATCTGTTTACAACTGCCAATGTAGTCTAGGCGTTAACAAAATCTCCTTAAAAAAATTAATAATTAACGTAAAATAAAATATTATATACGAGTTTTGTAACAAAATATTCGTTTCTTAATTTTGATACTACTAAATTAATTTTCTTAACTTTTTCTATAGATATATCTTCAAGATGGTGAAGATTATGAAATCAGGAAAAGTTGTATTGGTCCTTAGTGGCCGATACGCAGGAAGGAAAGCTATCATAATGCGTAATTATGATGATGGTACTACAGAAAAACAATATGGACATGCTATGGTAGCAGGTATTGACCGATATCCACGAAAAGTACACAAAAGAATGGGCAAAGCAAAGATTCATAAACGTTCCAAAATTAAGCCATTTGTGAAAGTAAGTTTGTCACTAGTTGTTTGTATAATTTTCCTTGTTATATATATATATATATATATATATATATATATATATATATATATATATATATATATATATATATATATATATATATATATATATATATATATATATATATATATATATATATATATATATATATATATATATATATATATATATATATATATATATATATATATATATATATATATATATATATATATATATATATATATATATATATATATATATATATATATATATATATATATATATATATATATATATATATATATATATATATATATATATATATATATATATATATATATATATATATATATATATATATATATATATATATATATATATATATATATATATATATATATATATATATATATATATATATATATATATATATATATATATATATATATATATATATATATATATTTTGTTATATATATATATATATATATATATATATATATATATATAATTTTATTTCAAAATATATGTATTAATGATAGGTACTTAATTATAACCATTTGATGCCGACGAGATACACTGTAGATTTACATTGGGATAAAGTAACACCCAAAGACCTTAAAGACCCAATGAAGCGCAAGAAAATTCGATTCCAAACACGTGTTAAATTTGAAGAAAAGTATGTATATCTATATCTATTATTTCTTAATATTATATTTTGCAACTGTTTTGAGATTGCGTTTAAAATTATTTACTATAGATAGACAAGTGATATTAATATCTATTTTTAGGTACAAATCTGGTAAAAACAAATGGTTCTTCCAAAAGTTACGATTCTAATTAAATTTAAATAAATATAAATCTACAAATATTTTAAGTGTAATATTTACCATCTCTTTTCCTGTTCCAGAATAAAAAAGCAATTTTTTGTACATATACTTGAAAAGCACGATTCTAGTTTATTTTTAACTTGTAATATTTATACATTAATGAATTTTTTGCTACAATAATAGAGTTAACTTGTATTATTTAATTAAAAATAATTAAAGTTCTATTATTAAAAATATTTTAACAACAATGTATGACAAGGTGTACTAAATCATGAATAAATTAAAAATATATTTAGAAAATATTAGTAAATAATATATAATTTAATAAATATCTATTAAACAAGTTGAGATATCATAATCTATAATGAAAATTTCAATGATGCTCTTATGAATTACACGTTCAGTTTTTTAATACGTTCATCTAATGATTCTATGTTACTCTTTATAATTTCTAAGTTTGATGCAAAGCTCTCTTGTACTCCTTTTAAAAGAGACTTGTTACTTTCCAAGTCAGAAGTTATTTGTGATTGTAATTCCTCTAAACGTGTTAAAGATTTGTTGAATGTAGCAGCTAAAAAAAATATTGAAAAAATATATTTTTTGGAAAAAGAAATTTATAAAGTTTTATAAATATATTTAAATACACACCTTGTTGGTGAATAGTATTTAAAGCCAACATTCGATTTACGGTTTGTGGTAAAATTTGTGAGATAGTTTCCGTTTGTTTCATAATATCATACATTTCCGAAATCTAAAAACAAACTTTGATTTAGATAAAATAGTTATTCACTTATTTCCAGTTTCTAATGTTGAACTCTCGTAAGTAAATTCATGTTATTTGAATATTTCTAAAAAAAAGAATACTTTTTGTTCTTGTTCTGAATCTAATGTTAATGCAGCCTTTTTTTGTGCAACATTATCCATTCTATGAATTAGTGCGGCTAATCGGCTTTCAATTATATCTAATTGGTAAGTATCTAGTAATGCAGCTTTTGCTCCTAATTCTTGAAGAGCTTCCATTACTCCTTGACCTTTGAGATTCTATAAAAAAATGTATTACTTACTTATTATTAGAAACACGCTAAAAATATGACTAACAATAAGTATTATAATTATGTAAGAATTTATTGTGCTACATACCTGTGAAAATTTGGAAAGTTTATCACTGGTTGTCCCAATTACACTTTCTAAATTGCAAAGCCTTTGTTCAAGTAATGCAATTCTTGCTGCTTCCTGCATTCTTGCTTTTTCTGGAAGATACATCATCTGATACTTAAGTACACCAGGTTCAGTTGCTTTATCATCTTTTGCATTCTGTGACTTTGAATCAGTTTCAGAAGTAAGAATACTAGTCTGCTTGAATGCTTCTATTTGTGATATCAGTTGTCTAAAATATTCATCAACAAAAGAAACATTTTCATTCTAAACACCTTATTATAATATAAATAAACTTACTTCATTCTTGTGCCTTGTGGATCTGACAGAGTTGCAACAAGATCAGCCCCAAGACATTCTTCTAATTTTAAGGAATCTAATTGTTTTCCTAAGAGTTGTACTTGAGAAATTATATCAGCAACAGATTTTACCTTTTCCTCTTTTGATTTTTCCTATATAAGAAACGGTAAAATATTCATTCATTTTTAAGGTTTGAACAATATGGTACATCATAAAAGAAATTTCAAATATGTATAATAGAACAATTAATACCTTCAAGTCATTTACTTCTTCATATAATTCTTTTATTTCACATTGCAAGCGCTGGTACTTTTGAATAGGGGTTTCTTTTTCTCCTTCTCCAGGTAATTCCCAATCTCCAAATCTAAAATTTGTTATATGTCTTCAACGTATATCTTACATCTTATATTTTCTTACTCAAAATATTTACTTATAGCCAGTTCTTGGTTTGAGTGATATTCGATCGGAGAAGTCAACTTCCTTGCTGAGGAAACGTTTATTTTTAAATTTAATAAATGCTTCAGTGGCACTAGTATGTAATTTTTCTATAGAATCTGTCTCATCCTAAAAAAAGGAAATATTCATACTGCTAAATACAGTATACTACATAATACATTATATTATAATCAATTTTCAATACTGTACCTCGGGGTAAAGTTGAAATTGTTCTGATTCTGGTAAATCAGTAGTCTCATAAACGTCCACTTGATCATATGCCTGTAGATACAATGAAAACATTGAAATATTAAATGTTCATTTATGTAAATTATAAGACATAGACGAGATTATACAAAATTATATCATTTCAGATTATATCTTCTTATCTCAATTTCAGATTATATTCTCATTTCAAAATGAATTATATTTAATAACAAAATCACATTGACATAATTTTATCGTAAAATATGAAGTACTTACAATTCCAGGTAAATCGGCATATTTAGGATCAGCCATTTTTCGTAATTAATTTTTAAAATGCTGTAAATTTTATTCAGCTAAATTATTTTCAAAAATACAAGAAATTTTTTCGTTTAGTAGCGATTAATAAAATTAGTAAAATATTGGTGTAAAGCATTAAGATTTTAACCGAATATATTACGAAGTGTCACTGAGCATTTGATTGCATCTGGTTGTATATAGCATATGTTTCACGTTCGTACGACTATCACGATATCTTCCAGCAAGTATCAGTACTACATTAAAAAATGGTAAACTTAGAAAAGTGATACATATTTTTGAAAATAAAATATATTTTATTTTAATAATAACAAAATTATAATCTTGTAAACGTAAATGTAATTATTTTATATGATTAAAATAACTTTTGTATTGTTCAAAGATATAAGGTATACAAAAAATACATATTTTAATTTGATATCTAATCAGTTTTGTGTAAGTTATAATTGTTTTGTAATTTACAATAAAAAAATTAAAGTTTATGTATAACGCATATGTATTGTCTTCCAAAAATGTAAAATTTTTGGATAATATTTTAGGTATCTTATAAAATTTCATCTTTTATATGTGTTTTGATATAGTTGTTCCTGAGGCTGTTATGATTTGCGAGCAACAAATATTTTAATTGCTTGCTCTTCCAAATCATACAAAGATACTAATTCAAGAAAGTTGCATAACAATATGAAAGAACTAAAAAGTTCCCAATCAATGTTGTATTGATAGATAATTATTGAAACTTTCATGAATCATATTGTAGCTTAACTTTAATTAAAAGGAATATTTATATATTTAAAAGAACTTTTATCTT